TACTGAGAGATGCAAGGACTTGCGGTCCAGTAGATGTCGTACACTGTACACAGGCATATTTTAGGCATCCAGAAGATCAACAATCATATGACAACTATCTGATTGAGTGGGAAATGTACAAGACTAGTGCATGCCAGACACAAGGAGTAGAAGATCCTAAAGTGACACAAAAGCTGAATTGCGTAGTGGTGGGAGAACATGGGGTGGCGTTTGCTAACACAAATTCAAACACAGACACACTCCCAATATTTAGGGTTGACAAATCCACACCACATGTAACAATGATGATTGAGTCCAAAGCAGAGGCCAAGAATTTAGGTCCAATGTGTGCACTGATATTGGCCAGTAATTTAAAACCAATGTGTATGCAACAGGGACAATTACAATACATTGTACTGCATAGTGAAACCACAGGAGGTTATGTGATCAAATTCAATGACCCAATTGAATATAAAGCCACTATGCAGGAAGTACAGAGAACAAGGACACATGGCAGGGAAAATACCAATTCAAGCCTATTTGAAGAGCAGAAACACACTTTACCTGAGAGGCTATGGACAAAACATGCATTTGACATCGGGAAAGCAGAGGGAATCCTGCCAATAAAACTACTGTTTGATGACCAAGTGTGTTACCAGAAGCAGTATCCCATTAAAGCAGGACTCCAGGACAAATTGAAGTACACAGTCTCAGAATTGGTGAAGGCAGGAATCATTGTCGAAGCGCCAGAGTATACGCCATACAATATTCCAATGTTGGCAGTAGACAAGGCAGGAAAACCATACTGCAGACTAGTGAATGACTTCAGGAAATTAAATGAGAGATCACAAGACAAACTATTGGACACACCTGACCCACACAGAGCAATGGCATTCTTACCAGCGTCTCATAAATGGTTTACCACCATTGATTTATGTAACGCATACTTCTGCATCCCATTGCATCCTGAGTGCTGGAAGTAGCTGGCATTCACAGTTGAGGGGAAGTATGTGTATACGCGTTTACCACAGGGTCACTGCGCTGCACCTGGGATCTTTAACAAATTGATCCAGGACGTGCTCTCTGAGATTGACATTGACCCAGACAAAAACTTTGTTCTGGCCTATGTAGATGATATTCTAATCTCAGGAGTATCTGAAGAGGCATGTACAGAAATCACTATGAAAGTCCTTAGAGTAGTGGCAGAAAAGGGATTCAAAATTGATTATGACAAGTGTGCATTTGTAAGACAGAGAGTATCTTTTCTAAAGACTTATCTCACTTCAGAAGGAGTCATGTGTGACCAGTCAAGACTGATCAAACTATCAGAGTTTCCCAAACCAAAAACAGTGAGAGAAATGATGTCCTTCATAAATACGGCAAGCTATATCAGGAAATATATTTTCAACTTCTCCTACATGATGAAGCCCTTGCAGAAAATGTTGATTGATGTAGGCTACACAGATTATGATGGGATCTTGACATGGACTGAGGAGCAAGCACAGGCATTTCAATCAATCAAAGAAAAACTATCAATGGTGCAGACTTTACACTGCGTTGATAGGAAATACCCAATTATGATGGAAATCACAATGACTGGAGATTATTATTGTGCAGTGTTGTTTCAGAAAATAGCAGATGCACCCAAAATATTGTACATATTCAGCTCCAATCTCAGAGGATCAGAAGCACACCACTTCTCATGTGCACGTTATGTAATGGCCCTTAAGAACTCACTGGTTTCCACATCACACATAATCTTGGACTCAGAGGTGATAGTGAGAACGCCACATAACATGTATGCAGCTTTGAAGGGGAACACATTTGCATTGACAAATTCAATGTCTCAAAAGATTCATCTGTTACTCGTAAATATGCAAGTTACATTTGAACCAACAGACTCTCCAATATTACCATTTACTATCTCAGGCCCAGTTCACCAGTGTGAGGTCCAACATAGTGAAGAAACAAACTTGATCAAAAAGTTGGGCAGGTCAGAGATTGAGGGGTCACATGCTATTTTTATAGATGGACACTCGCATAGAGACAAAACTGGAGCATTGGTTGCAAGCGCAGCAGCAGTCATCCATGACAGGGAAACATCACCTGTTACCAATCCTGATTTTAACATACTGAAGGCAGAGGCGCTGGCAGGGAAGTCAGCTCAGTATGCAGAATTAGAAGCATTTAGCCTGGCTTTGGAGAACAGGCCAGAAGGACCTATCACAATATATACTGACTCTGAGTATGTGCATTCTACAGTGCATTTACACTTGCCAATCTGGGTATTGCATGACAATTTCATCACAACAAAAAATTTGAGACCTACACATTTGGAATTATGGCAGAAGGTGGAGACCAAATCAAGAATGTACGTCACAAAACTGCATTGGTCAAGTGCAGAGCACATACTCGAGCCAGAGACTTCGTGGCAAAGGGCAATCAGTTTGCTGATAAAGTTGCTAAAATGACAGCTGGGTATGACAGGATAGGTACGGCTCTGCAGGCAGTTATTGAAGACAATCCTGAGGGAACAGAGGCACCAGTGGAAGAAAGGGAAGAGAACAGTCCACACATATTGCAAGAAAATCCCTCACTGTATGATGTGACAGCATGGAAAACTGCAGGGGCCATTAAAAACAGTGAAGGAGTATTCTATGATACATTTGGTAAACCGTGCGTGACTACTAAAAAACTACTACAGATCATTCAAAGTAAGCATGAGGAAACACACATAAAGTGCTCAAAACTTTTTTCAGAACTAAGACGGCACATGTTCCATCCTTTTATGCTACCAACCATCCAGCATCTATGTGACTCATGTGACATATGTCAAGGGCTCTCTAAGGCAAGGGCTGTGAAGGCAGGCATAGGAGCATACCCAGTGCCTCCATGGCCCATGGCAGAAATCGTAATTGATTTCATCGACATGACTGCTGATAAGAAAGCGGATGGGTGTAGATACGTGCTCACAATGATTGACCCACTCACACGATGGCCTGAAGCTTTTCCTTTGGCAAAAGCAAATGCAGAATCAGTAGCCAAAGTATTCTTGACAGAGATCTTTCCAAGGTACGGCCCGGCGAGAGTTATCAGATCTGATAACGGCTCGCATTTTAAGAACCAGACAATGGCTCAACTATGTGAGAGGCTGAATATAAAACAGCATTTTGGAGCAGTGTTACACCCGCAATCACAAGGGGTGATTGAAAGGTTCAACCAGACACTGAAAAACAGATTGGCACACATGTGTAGGTCTGGAAAAATGAATTGGAAACAGGCACTGCCTATAGCCTTGATGGCAATAAGAGGAGAACCAAGCAGGCCAATTTTTATGTCACCATTCCAACTAATGTATGGGAGACACATGCCCAGTAACTTATCTCGTTCACTGGAGCTCCCACCTCCAGCAGCCACTGATGATGCTAGGGAAACTTATATGAAAACATTGGACACTACAGTGAAGTTTCTGCAAGATAACATTGTCACGCTGACCCAGAAATCTCCAGAGCCCCCTTTGCAGGCTGTAAAAGACAAACTTACAGTTGGAGGCTACATTTATGTGAAAAACCAGAAACATTGTTGGGATCAGCTAACTTGGAAAGGCCCATTTTAAAATCTCCAAACTATACGAGTATACTTTGAAATATTACTTAGACGACTCACAAACTACAGAGTCATCATTTGTGCACATATCACACACTAGGCCCACTAGTGCACCAGAAAGATCCCTGCTTGATGTAATGAGAGATATCACTACGTCATCAGAAAAGGAGGCCGACAGGGGGACAGAGAGGGAAGTGTCTGACTCTATTAGTTAGAACATGGGGAGTTCTAGGGAGGGCGGAGCAACCCTAAAATGCACCTATACTTACTGTTTTAACCAATAGGAATTATCACCATAAAAATGTATTAATTGCCCAATATATATGTATGTAAATGTAAGAAGAAAAAAAAAAAAAAAAAAAAAATTATATATATATATTAATACTAATAGAATTGAACTAGACAAAGGAGAATCCTTTGGTTATATAGATTCTTCTCTATACAGGTCCCAGTGCGTCTGATAAGAAAGGAGACATCACCATACAGCTATGAGGGATCCTCAGGACCCATTAACTGACGAGGAGGTGTTTGCATTGATCGAGGAAAGGCTTGCTAGATACAGGGCTGAAATGGGCGCACTGAGAGATGGCCCTTTCTTCAATGGAAGCCTGTCCGATGCTGGACAGCGGGATCAACAGTTGGACCAAGCAGCCCAGGATATCCCTGACAGTGTCTCTCCAGATAGCCCTGTGGTGCAAGTGTCTGATGGCATAGGGACTGGTGATGACAATAGTATGAGAGACCTTCTGGAACTGTTGGAAGTTGAGGATTTTGGACTTTGGGGTTCTGGACTTCCAGACTTTGGACATCGGGAGGTTGAGGTTCTGGCCCCTGAGGTTCAGGAGTCTGGATATCAGGATTTTGACATTAGAGATGGTGGAGGACAGGGTTTTGAGGTCCTGGACATTGGAGATTGGGTTGTTGAAGGTCAGGGAGATGAGGTTCAGGATGTTGAATATCAGGATATTGCCATTTTAGATTTTGGGATTCAGGGGTTTGAAATTATGGTCGATGGACTTCAGGTTATTGAAGAATTTGGCAATTTCTCTGACTTTATGGATTGGGCTGATCAAGGGGACTGTGCATTTAACTGACGTGGTTTGGATCCGACATAAGTGATAATGGGGGGGGTGACAAATTGGCCTATAAGGGATGTTTAATTTATCACAGGATTGTGATAAAACAGGGGGAAGATTGATTATTGATTATTTTTTTATTGATTGATTATTAATATTATTTTTTATAATTATTGATTGATTATATATAAAAAAAAAAAAAAAAAATATATATATATATATATATATATATATATTCATGATCCAGAATCAACTATTTAGATGAGCAATTGAGCAAATCAAAGCTGAAAACACTAATCTGGTATGCATGGGATAGACTTTAAGACTGAGGTGTTCACCATGCAGGTACTCTCAACATGATAGGACCATGGACATTCTTAGGGTTGAGGACACGAGAGTGGGTGAGTATGGTGGTAGGTATAGGGATTATAGCTGGATTTTTTATGTGGGCCTGGGAAACAGAGTTAGGCCAGGGGTATGCAAAACCAACAACTGTCTATGGTAAGGAGAAAACTCTTGGTGTCAATTCCTCAATTTCTGATTATTCAGACATTTTACCCGGCAAACAAATGAGAGAACGCAAAATTCAACCTACAAAGGGGACAGGGATAAAAATAAGACCAAAAAGGGAATTGGATAAACTGGGAGCATGTGCAAAAAAGCGACAATACCTATTTGGGGTGCAATTGTGTTTGGCAAAGGGAGAACATATGGCATTCCAGGTACCTTTTATAGCATTAGTAAACAAAGGGAAAAAAGTGGGAGCAGAAAATTCAGATTATGAATGGTACATGACAAATGACATGAGAGATAAATCATGGGGGACAATGGTGGCATATACTGGATTAGATTGGACACCAACACCAACTACAGAGTTTGCAAGACACCATTCTAAAATAATTTCCATGACAAAGGGGATTATGCAGGGAAGTGTACCATGTCTTACAATTACAGTGGACTTGAGAGGTGAGTCATTGGACCCAAGAGACAGATCAGGGAAGAAACCTCTATGGTTTTGTTGGGGATTTCTGGTATGGGCATATGTGCCAGGAGAAGACCCTTGGGCATTAATTACTATATGTGAAGATCCAGTCAGTGTCACAAGAGAAGGGGGGCTTAACGTAGGACATGTAGGTAACACAAATCTAGTAATGGTATATAATGCAACTCTCTTACACGCAGATGATGTTTTCAGAATGGAGACAGGAATAACAGCTACAAAAAATAATTGGCTATTTATGATTGAGCAAGCTGCAAAAGCTACACAACTAAGTCAATGTATTGCTTGTATGGGACCAAGGCCTATATTACATGCAGTACCGACTGTAGTAGATAGGGACAATCATACATGTTTACTAGAGATTATGATGAGAGATAACCTATACCCTAACTGTTCACTATATGATAAAATATATCCGGTAACTGCCACAAATGCGACACCACCAATTTTTAATTCACAAGTAAAAGGTGAATACACCTGCGTCATTAGGAAGGTCCTTAGTGGAGAAAAAAGGGAAGTAGGACATGTAAATAGATCATTATGCATTAGGTATGAGGATTTCACAGAAAAATTAAATGGACACAAGTTGACAGTAGCCAGAGCAGATGTGTGGTGGTATTGTGGTGGCAAGTCTTTAAGGGGATATCTACACCCTCTGTGGGATGGCATGTGTTTGTTGATCTCATTACTCATACCAATTGAAATAGCTCCAGTGGATTTAGAGAAGCCAGAGATTTTGAAACAAATCATTAGTGTAAAAACCAGATCAAGAAGGGCACTGGCTAGACCAGAGGAGGGAAGTCCAGTTTATATTGATGCAATAGGTATTCCTAGGGGAATTCCAAATGAATACAAATTGGTTGATGAAATTGCATCAGGATTTGAAAACATCCCAATAATCTCCGCAATTTTTCCAGTAACCCCAAATAAGAACGTCGATCGGATCAACTACTTACATTACAACATACAGAGGCTAAGCAATTATACATATGATGGATTTGAGGCAATTCATGAACAATTATCAGCCACATCCTTAATGACCTTCCAGAACAGACTTGCTGTTGACATGATTTTAGCCAAAGAAGGCGGAGCCTGTTCATTGATTGGCCCTACGTGCTGTACGTTTATCCCAAATAATACTGCCCCAAATGGAAAATTAACAAGGGCCCTTCAGGGACTGAAGGCGCTATCCCAAGAAATGAAGGCACATTCAGGAGTAGACCAATCAATGTGGGACGGGTGGTTGGATGTGTTTGGCAGATATAAGGCACTGATAGCATCAACTCTGCTATCGGTGGCTGTATTTGCAGCAATCCTGACGCTATGTGGATGCTGTTGTATTCCGTGCATACGATCCTTATGTAACAGAGTGATAACAGCCGCTGTGGAAGGGAAGGTGGCAGAAAGACAACTGCTACTAACCCAGGACCTACAGTGGGAACCAGAAGAATTGATGACCATAGCCTAAGCCATAAAGGACAATCATCAGAAGAACGGGTGAGTATGGTCTGTGATATTGTCAGAATATCACCAGAGGAGTTGTGAGTATGCTTTATGATATTATCAAAATATTTTAATCAAAAATGTATAACTGCTTGCATGTAAATAACGCACATAACCTTGCAAAATTGTAAGAGGGACTTGGGAAAATCGGGGATGCGATAAAAAATTATAAAAATTAAAAATTAAAATAAAAAATTACATAATTCAAATTGATGCACGACACAAACATTCTTTCTCCACAGCTCTTGCAACTATTGTTTTTGTTACACAGACTAGACACCGCAGCACACCCACATATAGAATGTTTTATAGGATCACTTCAATGTATGTAGTTTAGGGTGAGTTGGATGCTCAGTCCGCCCAGAGGCCTTTGGGGGGGTCTGAAGTAAGGGCTGAGTGGAAGACCACCACATTTTTCATAATGTCACATGGGGTGGTTTAGGAGTTCCCAGATCGTCGTGAAGACTGGGATTAGACTGAGTATAGGATGTAATGCTGGATCAACTGATGAAGATGGGCCATCTGAGACGAGAGTGATGGATGTCCGAAGAGTTCCTCTCCGGCCAACAGGGGGACTGTTGGAATATTAACTCCTGCACCAGTTAAAACTAAGATCAGTTTAGTATTGTTTCTGTTGCCAAATTAGCACTTGTTTGTGTAAATCTCAAAGAGCAGTGAGTTCAAGGTTAGTCTGTATGAAATGGGAGGGGGACAAGAGGGAGACAAGTGGTTATCAGAGCAGGTGCAAACGTTGGCAGTGGGCCAGAAGGAGTCATAGGGTCCATACAGTTGTGATGTCAAGTGACCTTGGATGTAAAGTATAAGAGATGTGCAGGAGCGGTCACGGGAGACTTTTTGCTTTTTCTTCTGACAAGGAGCAGTGAGACGTCCCCGGGGGCCACTCCTTTTCTGAACGCGAAGCGAGACTTGTGTTCGCGGACCGTTATCTTGTAATATTGCTTGCAAACCTTCAATATAAACCTTTGAAATCAGGTTTGGTATCTGTCATTTCTAGTACTGTTTTAACATTGGTTTTGTCTCTTGTTGAACTAAAAGGACCTGCAGAACGAAACGGGCTGCTGTGTTTGCAGCCTCTCTGCTGCTTCTGGGGCAGGGGAATTCTGACAGAAAGTACGACAGGCTTCAAGTGAAGAAGTTCCCAGAAGTACATTCTATCGTCACGGAAAAAATAAATCTTCAAACAAGGAGGGAAGCATGATTTATTCAACGTTGTACTTTATATTGGAGACTGAATTTTGGAATTGTTTCTGTTTTGTCTTTCTAGATTTCAACCAGATCATTTTATAAAAGGTATGTGGAGGGCCACGAAGAGGTGCCCCGGACAAGCAGTTACAGAAAAAGAATACTGGTATGAAATAAACACCTGTATACATTTACTTTCACTTGGCCTAATTAACACCATGTGTTAACTGTTATCTACATTTGGTTCTTCATTATGTTGTCCACAGCAGTCAGTTGACCAGAGGAGAAATGAACAGCCATCCTCAAAAAGACTAAGAGAGACTGCTCTTGAAACACATGTAACTTTCCAACAATGTATATTATATTGTTGCGTAAATACATTTTACTCAACTCTAACTTTCCATTAGCATGGGGATTTGTTGTCACAAGATGATTATATGGGACAAGTCCCCTTTACTTTGGATGAGACTACAGGGCCTCACAAGCCTGAAAATGTGCAGGTAAAAAAAGACATTGTGAAATATAGAAACATGATAACAGGAATTTTACAACATATAAACATTTAGCATATATTTTTGTACAGCCAATATGTGTTGTCCAAGCTTTGAGAAACAGTGAACACAGTGATGAACCCGATGATGTAGTTACATCTAAAGAGGTAAAACAATTAAAGTTATAACCATAAGGCCTCTCATTTACTTGTTCATATGAATCTGCTTTATATGACTAGTCTGTATTTGTTTAGAATCTTATGGATGAGGAACACGGTGATGATGATGGACAAGGAGATCCGCTTTCTTCAGACTTGGTAGGTTACTAAAAGCATTTAGAAAAGAAAGAAGAGAAGTGATCCACATAACTGATTTGGGCTAACCATTTGAATTATAAGTTAATTAGGAGAATGTTCCGATCTATCATGTTTTCCCCTCCATTGTTTATTGATCCATTAATATTGGCTGAATTAAAAGGGCACTGATTTAAATCATAGTTGGCTGATCAAGTAATGTCTACATGGTTTAGGTCCATGGAATCCCTGTACGTATTGGCCCTCCGAACAACCACACTGAGGCAACCACAACAGCACCACGTGAGGTAAGTTATATGTTTGTCATAATTTAATCTCTTTTTGAAATATGTAATAATAATAATAGCATACGTGTGTGTGGTGTGTTTTTTCTTTTTTTTGCTGTGTAGATGGTGGATGATGTACTTTACCCAGGGGCTTCAATTACCAAAGGACAAAGTTTACTTCTATTGATGGCCTACATTTTGAGACACAGCCTGACGGGGACAGCACTTGAACACCTCCTCAAAATATTTAATGAATTGTTCCCAGGATCTCTGCCAGCAACATCTTACTTGTTCCATAAAGCTTATGGCAAGTATGGACACTATGAAGCACATTTCTACTGCTCAGAGTGCACAAATTACATTGGTAAGGGTGATGGATTTACTGTGTGCTCAGTTTGTCAGACATCATTTGATATAGATACTTGTTTGAAAAATGGGTCATACTTTCTAGTTCTAAGTTTGTCAACACAGTTAAAAGATATCCTTGAGAACCAAAAGATCTCTTTTGCACAAAAAAATCATTCTGGCGATATAACAGACATATATTCTGGAATGGAATATCAGAAACTAATTGAAAGCGGTGAAATGGGGAGTGACGACATAAGTTTGATTTGGAACTGTGATGGCATTCCTGTGTTCAAAAGCTCCAAATGTCAATTGTGGCCAATTCAATGCAAATAATAGAACTCAAACCTAAAGAGCGAAAAAATAATATTTGCATACCCTGCATATGGTTTGGTGAAAAGAAACCAAACATCATGACTCTCTTAACCCCCTTTGTGGAAGAACTTCAAGTTTTGGAGAACTCTGGAATAACATGGACTGATGCACAGAACAAGACACATTTCACCAAAGTCTTTGCTCTTATCTGTAGCTCAGACTCCATTGCGCGGCCCCAAATTAGAAACTGTTATAGAAGTTTCTATCCAAAGTAAGGAAGAAGCTCAAAGGTATTTGTCTTAATCAGGAGCGTAAGTTTATTGTACACACGTGCGGAGAGCTCACATACACAAAGGCAGCATACATCAGCTCTGACGCGCCCAGACCAGGTTCCTGTTTACATAGACAACACATGAAAGACAGTCACGCCCACAAAAGATGGGAGGGGGTCACCAGTACAGGAGGCGCATCCGGAGGCGAGGCGCCAAGTCCGTGGGGAGGCAATCAGACCGTGCCATAGAGATGCAAACAGAGAGACAATGGACATGCAGGATGTAGAGATGCAGACATACAAATGCAAGATGCAAAAGGGACAAGGGTGAGACAGTCATTGTCTGTAGGTGCGGGGGGAAGCCCGGCTCCTTCCTGCAGGTTAATTGAATAGAGCAGCAGGGGGGGGTGAGTTGGCGTCCCCGAGTCTAGGCCGCTTGCCATCACACTCCTCTCCCGTGATAATGTACAAACCCCAGTTTTACAGAGATCACATTCAGGTGGGTGAGTATTGACCTTGGTCCCTGAGCAAAACAAGTGGAAAAATAAAAACAAGGTAAACAAGAAAGAAAAACGTTAGACAAAGTCATCGTCCGAATCGCTGATATAATCAGGATCGGAGTTCAGTGGGACAGCGGCCAGGTCCGCCTCGGGGTCTTTGTATTGAATGGACACAAAGTGAGTGGTTATCATTTTACCAACGGCCCGAAACACCATAGGTAATACACATGAAAATAAAATCATAACAGTCAATAGGGCTAAACCAAGATTAATGAGCACACTCCGCCAGGAGGACAGGAGCCAGTCCAGACCGTGAGGAGTGTCCGTGACATTGTCCGCTTGCATGGCGTCCCGGAGTCTAGTCAGATTGGCTATGCCCTGTTGGATAAGACCTCCGTCCTCATCATTAGCCGGAATATATGTACAGCAGGACGACCCAATGATCGTGCATACGCCTCCCACAGACGCGGTCAGGTGGTCCAGGACCAACCGGTCCTGAAGAGGTCGTGAATTCAAGTATGGCCACTGTGGTATTGACAAAACCTGAGAACCTATAGCTCAGGGTCTCCGTCCTTAGCATTAGTTTACCTACACCCAGGCTGGGGAATAATGCTAACATTATTTTCTGGCCTATGGTCCATAATTTGTGGTCATCGGGTACATTAGTGCCCCACAGGGGGTCGTCTCGGGATTCGGAGGCAGGGGAGTTGGGCAAAGGGGGTCGCCTCGGGAACGCTGAGATTCTCTGGGTGTTGTTGTTGGCCTGCTTCACCGACGGTGGTCGCACGCCGGCCGACCTCTTCAGCGTAGGGAGCCGCGGATGGGCCTGGTCCGTCCCCACCCTCGGTGTCCTCGTCTATGGCCCTCAGTGGCAGCACCGCACGACAGTGGTAACGGCAGTGTCCGTCACCAGGAGGACGAGGAATGGGCCCAGCCAGCGCTTGGACCGCCAATGTTGTCGTCTCGTTTCCTTCACCAGGACCCAGTCGCCTGGCTTGATCTTGTGCGGAGCCGCCTGCGCAGCCTGTGGCAGGGCGCTCCTGACCTGGGCAGAAATAGAGGGCAAAAGTGCATTAATTTCCTTACAATAGGACGGCATGTCGTCATCACACAAAGAGGTGCTGGCAGATCTCTGTTCGGGGGTCCCGCGCCCAAGTTGGGTGGTCTGGCAAAGAGGATTTCGAATGGGCTTAGGTTTGACCTTGACCTGACTCTCATGCGCATGTACATGAGGGCTAGCGGCAGAGCTTTGATCCAAGACAGGTCTGTCTGTTCGCAGATTTTAACAAGTTTGTTTTTCAGAGTGTCATTCTCTCGCTCGCACGCGCCTCCGCTCCAGGGGGCGTAACTGCAGTGTTTACGTATATCAATGCCCAGAAATTCACCTACTTCCTCAATGACTTCTGCTACAAAGTGACTGCCATTGTCACTAGAGATTTTTTCTCGGGACACCCCATCGTGGCACAATTTCTGTGAGCAGAGCTTTCACCACCGCGTTGCTCGTGGCGTGTTTGCATGCAAATACTTCAGTCCATTTGGACCAGAGATCCACCAGAACCAGACAGTATTCCTTACCTTGGCATGGTGTGAGTTCAACAAAGTCCCTTTGGACATGTTGAAATGGGCGCAGGGGCGGAGGATGGGCAGCTGTTGGATAATTTGGGACTTACCTGGGTTGTGCGCGAGGCAGATAGCGCATGTTTGGCAGAATCTTCTGTGCAAATGCCGTAAACCCTTTGTATACCAATTTTGTGTGATTAAATTACACATCCCTCCTTTTGAGGCATGGTCTCGACCATGTGCTAAAATTGCAAATGTCTGAAGAAATGCCGTGGTAAGCACGGTTTTAGGTCTGGTCCCAGCCACACACCATGCCGTCGTTGAGCCCCATTTCCCTCTCCACAGCATCGTCTCTGCTGGAGTAGCCAGTGCCTGCATTGTTGACAGAGAGGAGAAAATATCAACGTCTTGAGTGAGGTAGTGTGTGTGTGTGGGTAGAGGTGAGTATGCCGCTGCCTTGTCCGCGCGCCGATTCCCTGCTGGGATGGGATCAGTGGCATTAGTGTGGGCCTGGCATTTGCATACAGCGATCTCTAAGGGCAACATTACAGCTTTCAGCAGATGTTCAACCTGTGTGGAATTAAGAATTGGTTTACCATCAGATTTCATAAAATTGCGGTGTTTCCACAGTGCCCCCCAGTCGTGCACCACAGAGAAACCATAACGCTTATCACAGAATATGTTAACAGTTTTGCCCGCTGCCAGCTCACACGCCCTGGTGAGCGCGACCAGTTCAGCGGTTTGTGCTGAATGGTGGTGGGGGCAAACTACCAGAGTCTATAGTATCAAAATCAGAACACACAGCATAGCCGACTCGGTTCTTCCCAGTGTTGTCACGTGACGCGGCTCCGTCTGTATAAAAATCAAGTCAGGATTAGTCAGAGGCACCTCTTTCAGGTCTGGCCTGGGAGTGCATATCTGTTCTATTGTGGCGATACAGCAGTGTGCCTCCCCTTCCTCTGGCGTGGGCAGCAGTGAGGAGGGGTTCAGCTGTGTGCATCTTTTCACCGTGACATTGGGGAGTTCAAAGAGCACCGTGTTGTATTTCAGCCAACGAGCCGCAGAAAGGTGAGAGGTTTTCTGCTCTAGCAGGATCAGGGAAACAGCATGGGGGACAAGCAAAGTTAGTTCAGTGTATCCCACAAGGTCACGTGATGCTAGGGCCGCTTTCTCAGCGGCAGCCACAGCCCGCAGGCAGCGAGGCAACCCTGCTGCCACGGGATCGAGTTCTGCTGAGAAGTAAGCAGTGGGTCTCAGTGGCCCTCCGTGAGACTGCAAAAGTACAGACACCATGCACCCACACCGCTCATCCACAGTCTGAGTGAATGGCCAGGTTGGGTCAGGGAGACCTAGTGTGTGTGTGTAGATTTACTGTTCCGTTCATCTCCAGTTGCTTTTCTCCCGGATCGTCCTCAATTCATATTGTGGGCTTTGGTGCCAAAGTAGAAGCTCATTTCCTCATGATCCATACTACTGTCATCCCTGAAGCAGGGGTAGTTTATCTCTCATCTGAAACAGAAATATTAGAACACAAAAATACAAAAAAAAAAAATGCCCACTTTCGCTTGTCAATCTTTTTTCCAATTGGGCAAAACATAACTGCATTGACAGACGGTGTGTGACATCAGGGCAGATACAGACTTAACAAAATGTATGTTTCTAATTACTCCCCTAAATGTGAGTTTACAAACCAAAGTTGTCCTTCAACCAACGGCAGCTCACTGCGGTTGGACCGAATCACTGTCAGGACAAACAGCAGAGGGAGGGACTCCCAATATCTTCAGCAAGGTATTTCATCTCAGAGTACTTTCCGCAGAGTACTTTTCTCAGAGTACTCATCCCAGAGTACTCTCACTTTTACACCTGTTCAATAAAGCTTGTTATCTTTGAATCTCTAGTACTTACACCGTATGCTGTTGACAAAAAATAATTATTCCATGATCACATTAAAACATTACAGAAACATTTGTTATTCCATGATTCCGTTCAGCACTCCTCGTTCACTCCACAACACACTCACAACACCCCACGTTAGTATATTGGTCCAGTTTGTTAAGGTCAACGTAGTGTACTTGACATGACGCACAAACATATAACATACACAAACATATGAGAGCAGATTTAGGCTATATCCACACGAAGACAAAACGCTTATAATTTCAGAAACTTTTTCTGTAAACACGGAGTTAGCTCAGTAAATGTGTGCGTCCATATGAATGTAGTCAATACGCCTGAAAACGCTGTGAAACTATGCCAGACCTGTTGGTGGCGCTGTGACGCAATGACGGGATCAAGCCCAAACTTCCGTGGGCATGAGCGGAATTTTGTAAACAGACAACATGGCGAGTGGGCGAGCTGGTACTACATTAGTATGAACGGACGATGAGGTTGAACTGTTGCTTCGGGTCACACTGGATTACAA